ATGCAAATGTAATGACATGGAAAATACTGATAGGAGAAGAGAGCAGCGTGAGTTCAGGAATGACCTCATAAGTCTGCTGCTGCTCTGTCACTGGTAAAGTCAGCATCCTGGGGGTGGAGAGGAAGGACACCACTATATTCCCTATCTGTAAATGGTTCATCCAGCAGAGCTGTGTAAATCTTAGGACTGGATATTTCATCTTTGTACTGTCTGTCTGTCTGTCTAGAATTCAGCTTTAATGTTCCTTCTTGACAGAGACTGTTGTGATGGGTCTATGTACCCAGCAAAGTGCAGCAAAACAAAATGTTAGTGCTATATCAATAAATTAAATAAATGTGACCAGCACCATTAGTACTTGTGATTACTCACAAATGATGGGACACTGGTAAGGTTCAATGATTGGCATGTCTCAGAGAACAAACGTTCTGTGCCATAGCCACAAAACAGATTTGACTTTGAAAACTAGTGTACCAAATAATGTGGTACATGTCAATCTCTGTAAAATTACTTGGTTATTTTCAGCACGGGGTTTTGCCGTCACAAATTTCAGCACAGGTATTTTCCGCACAAATAACTTATCCCACTTGAATTTTAGAATTTTAGACACCTAAAGAAATAATTTATTGCACCTGAAAAGTTGTCTAACCCAAAATGTGAACCCATAGAGTGTAAAGCGCAAATTCACTTTAGCTTCAACCCTTAGGCTCCATGTATATGGGACACTTCTGAACGATGGAAACTGACTGCTGGAAAACGTAGATTAAAAAATGTCTATTTAGCCGCGTTTGCATACCGCGTTTATGCATGTTTATGAGCGTTTGTGTTTAGAAGCGTTTTTTTAAGATAACCTCAGGAGACCTTCCAAAATGCCCAGAATGCACTGAAAAACAGTAAAAGAGTAACTATTTCAGACATTTTGAGAGAAATAGAGAGAGCAGAAGCAGAGAGAGCAGTATTTGTTGAGATTAGCTGTCTTTTTTTTTGTGGTGTTTGGATGTGTTCCAACTCATTTCTGTGCAAATATTATTGCAGCAGTGTCTAACATATTTTTTTTCATGCAAAACCTCAAAGTGTGGTGTGCCAGGTCCATTTGAGTACCAGAAAAAAACACTTTGCATGCATTTTCATGATGAAAAAAGGCTCTGAACAGCATCTGGAAATGGAAGAGTTAAAATAAATTTGCAAACGCCTATAAATGCAGTTAGCCATGTTTAGCCGCGTTTACAAGCGTTTTGCGTTTGAAACACTTATAAAATCTACTGCTGAACGCAAGTTTTCTGCGTTCAAAAAAATGACTGTAAACTCAACTGCCTGTAAACGACTGTAAATGATGATGTGTACATGGACACATAGGAAAACATTAGGCAGAGTTCAGGGGCTGCTGAAAAAAATGCTGAACAGCTCCTAAACGTGAGTTTATCAGCTGCAGTGTACATGAACCCTTACCTGTAAGTCTGACCCTCAACTTGATCCCTACTATTAACCCTTAAACAACTCGTAAACTCCCTCATCTCACGCCTGGACTACTGCAACTCCCTTCTCACTGGCCTACCCAAACAAACGCTATCCCCACTCCAGTCTATCCTGAACTCAGCGGCTAGACTCATCCACCTCACCAACCGCTCCACATCTGACACCCGCCTCCGCCAATCCCTTCACTGGCTCCCGATTGCCCAGCGCATCAAATTCAAATTACTAACTCTGACCCACAAAGCCATTCACAACGCCGCCCCAAACTACCTAACTAACCTGATACCCAAATACCACCCTACCCGTGCCCTTCGCTCCTCGCAGGACCTCCTACTCTCTAGCTCCCTGGTCTCCTCCTCCCACGCCCGACTGCAGGACTTCTCCAGGACTTCCCCCATCCTCTGGAACTCCCTACCCCAATCCATCAGACTGTCACCTACCCTCCTCACCTTCAGGTGCACCCTGAAAACCCATCTCTTCAGGGAAGCCTACCCCACCCTCACCTAACAACCGATCTCCTCCACTTCTCCCACCACTCCATCCCCCATAGCCACTTCCTCCTGTACCACTTCCCCTCCCTCCTAGATTGTAAGCTTGAAAGAGCAGGGCCCTCGAACCCCTTGTGTATTGTATTGTTACTGTCTTGTCTCATGTTCTGTCCCCCTTGCTATTGTACAGCGCTGAGCAAACCCTTTGGCGCTATAAAAATACTGTATAATAATAATAATAATAATAGAGAGCTAAAGGAGATTAGTAAAACAGTGCTAGCAGGTAGGTTCTGTATATTAAAAGGCAATACAACAATTATTAAATGGGGTTCTAAAGAGTTAATCCAAGAAATGCAATTCTGACAGCTACACATAATGCCTGGGTGATCTAACATACAACATGTGCTACGCTTAGTTGGCAGTTTATCTAAAGCTGCCATGAAAAAAAATGACAGAACAAGAGGAATGGGTATGTAATCGCTGCCGCGATCCTTGCTGGATCTTCATTAATTATGTATTCTGTTTAGGAAATAATTTATGCCCCTTGGAACTTTGCTGTGCTGGTGCTTTTCGAGAGCCTGACTGAAGTGGCATATTGATGCAGCAATAAGGATATATGATGTTAATTCTAAAAGATGCAGGCAGTAGGCATGGGGTGTGGACAGGACCGCACACAGCATTTTGAGTGTTAAAGCCCCTCTCCAGACTTTTAGCACCCCATTCCCTCTAATTGATGCAGTTGATTGAAAAAAAATCTGAGAGCTCAAAATACTCCATCCTACAACAGAGTGAGACCTTTTTCATGTTGCTTGTTCACGTCACTGCTTGCTAACTTCATATAGGCTGTCCAACAGTTGGGCCATCTCAGGCTCCAGACCTGCAGCGACACAGGGTTCCTATGTACACAGATTGAGGGGCTCCAGAAGATCTGTTCAGAGCGGAGGAAACTGGTCTTTCTGTTTTCTCTGGAGTTTGTAACTCCCAGATCAGGGTCTGGAGCCCAAAGGCTTTGAAGAGCTTTGGAAAGGAAGAAGCCACTAACCTGGTGTCCAGGTATTACTAGTGAAAAGCAGAATGTGTGTGCATGTGTGCACAACCTTTATAATCTAGGGTCTGGCTATAGTTCAGGGCTCCACCTAGGAGAAAGGAGGTCCCTGTCCAGGTCAGAGTGTGGGCTCCATGAAGCAAGGAGCTGAGAATGATGCAGAGGATGCATGAGGGAGGTACAGAGATTGCATGTGAATACAGTGGTACGGCAAACTGGTCTGAGGGACCAGCCAAAAGGTCTGTGTTAGAGTTCTGAGCAGTGCTGTGGTGGAAGTGAGCCAGGAGGCTGAAAGAAGCACCTCTACATTATACAGTATTGGAGAAGGAATTTGAAGACCCCTGCATGGGTATCCTTTTTGTTGTGTTTGGAAGTGGTGTTGGATACCATCGCGAGGGCAACGGTTGAATTTGAGGAACTTTTTTACATTCATTTTAAACAAAAGTGGGCCATTAAGACCTAAAATAGTTCCTGACTGGTGTGAACTCATTGAAAAGTGCTACTACTATTGATTGAGAGAATTCCCTAAACTTCACAGTATGATTTGTGATTTTATACAGCATGTGCTTGGGGACAGCCATATCTTCATCTTCATTACATATCCAGGCTCTGCTTCATGCTTTACTCTTCCCTCTCAGTGCAAAACCCAGGGGTTTGGAGAGTTCTTGAAAAGAAATGTTCTCCCTGTGTGACTTATATCTTACACAAACAGTTGTTAAGTGCAAGACATACTAATACACGGAGACAATGAGAGCTCCATCTAGTGGTTAATCTCTTTATTACAAAATTAACAATAACAAAAACAAACAAAAGGAGAACTATGGCCAGGCTATTGACATTCAACTAGTAACACATATTAACAAGCAGTAAAAAATGCTTTAAAACAAGCCCTTACTGACTTCTGTATCTACAACCATCATCCTCAAATTTCCGATAAAAAATACTTTCCTTTTCATTTTCTATCACTAGATCATTCTGTTCCTCTCTGCCAACACTACAGTGGCTGTTTGCCTTCTAACCTCTAATGTAAACATAGAGCAGGTGCACAGGGAGAGGGCAAAGGGCTAAATACAGAGTCCTAACTTCACTGCGTCTAATGTGAACTTTGGGGATGAATTGCTCCATAGTTCCTTCAGCTACTTTAGTCAGGTGGAATTTGTTTAAAACCATTGCACTACTGACTGCTGTAAACATACAGTATACTCTACTTGGGCAATTTAACTTGTCAGCATCTATCAAAACCAGAAATATGTGTTTTCATTTGAATGACCCTTAAGTTCTGCGCAAAGAGAACACATCTCCAGGTGCCTGCAAGCATCTTCACTTTATTTCCTGCAAACATCTGACCAGACATCAAGTAGAGCCCCTGTTTTTGCTTATAGGTCACTAAAATTGATTATGGGGAAGGATGGGTCAGGACCAATTTGTGTTGAAATTTGAATAGTAGAGAGTCATAGGCTTTAGGGTATAATTATACACTCTGGGTGCTACTTTATAATCTTTGAAAGCTCCACAGGAACACTTTAAAGCTGGGTATAAAAAGAAATGCTATTTCTAACACTAAATTGACTTCCCATCGAGGAGTAAGATGGTAGCAACAGACAAACAGAAGTTACAACTTTGTGGGTTATATACAGTAACAAATATCCAATTTCCTGTACATAAACACACATGTAGTCTGAAAATTATTAGCAGCATTTTTACAATAAGCAAACTTTTTCCCCTTCATGTCTTAGGTTTTTATTTGAATCTAAAATACATACATAGAAATAGGGCTAAAACACAGAAAACACATGCGGCAGACCAGGAGACAAAGTTTTTTCCAAATGTCAGGTTGTTTTGTAAACGCATTACTGGTGAGATAATAACAAGCTGTAAGTTTCTGACACGTCAACTTTTGCCTTTCTACTAATAATAAAATTACAGCAGCTAATGTGTTTTTTGTATTTGTTTTTGTTTTGTTCTTTTTGCAGTCTTTTTCTGTCATGAAAGCTTACCCTCATTTTCGAACAGGCATCTTGTGTTGATTCCGTCCCCCTCAATTCCTTTATCAGCATTGATCCTAAATACTAAAAAAAAAAATGTATTCAGATTTGTGGTGGAAACACACACAGCACACACAATGGGACAAAAATGTCACCACAATTACATTTGTTTCTAGATGTGTTTGTATGATGTCAAAAATAATGACAACCAAAGAACAGAACTGAAGAAAATTCACTATTTGACAACAATAGCACTATATATAACATTAGGCAATAACAATATATCGCAGCATAGTGGCTTTAGAAAATGTTAATCAACCCTGCCATAAAGCAAGTCAACTACAGTTCATTTCAAGCTAATGAGAGTTTACTTGCTCCATAGAAAACATTATGCAGGGAAAAGTTTTTAGAACAGCTTACTGTTTGTTTGCATTAAAAGTTTAAAGGACCAGTCAATAAAGTTATGTATCAACTGACAATAGTAATGTGGCAAAAAAGCCAAATACGTCAGAGAAAAAAACCATAGACAGTTCTAGTAATTTGCCACAATCATCATGTATTTACCCCATTTGCGTAACATATAAAAGTAAACTACAGCTATGTCATCTTCTATCCCATCATCCTGCATTCAAGCTATACAGAAATAATATTTAAAATAATAGCTAGTCTTAAGTGACCACATCACGCAAATAGTTATGATCACCATGTATCTCAAAATATATGTTTTTTAACGTTTCACAATTCCAGGCATGGCAAATGTGCTACGGAATATATACTTTAACCTACAAATTTGGACATTTTAGATTACAAATTTCAAATCAAAACTGCCAACACTAAATTTTCTGCCCCAAGAATCCTGGATAAAAGATCTCAAACTTGTAGTTTCAAAGTTGTGAAATTTTAGTTTATATGGTACAGCGATGGGGGTCGACATCATTCCACTTTCCTGTTTTGCCATTTTGAAAGTTAACAGGAAGAGGAAGTCTTTACAAATGATTTGTAACCAAACCTTGGCATGTATAACAATAATTGAGATATAGAACAATGTCCATTGTATATGAAATGGACATTGTACTGATGGTCATAGATAAAAAAAAGAAAAAAGAAAAAAAAAAGACAACTCCTGATTTTTGTTGTTTTTCCTAACACGCAACAAAGTGAAGTAAATATAAGTGCACTGTATACCTTTATCATCTCAGACCAGGAACACTGGGGGTGAGGTACGGGTTTTAAAATGGGTCCATATTTTCCCCCAAATGGCATGCTCTAAACAAAGAAAAACATACTAGACATTTTCTGAAACTGGACACACAAAGGAATCCTTTTTTTCGATGGATCAAGCAAAATTTGTGTAGAAAATCAACAGTCACCCTAGTGGTTATAAATAGCCTTAAAGCACCATGCCCCTTTCCATAGTCAACATGCATTGCTAATGGGATGCAGTCTCAGCTTCATGCTATGTCACAAGACCATTCTATTAGGTGGCAAATATAGCAATAAACGGCCATAGTCTTGCTTAGACATGTTTCCTTCTATGTTGATATTAAATAATGAAATGATAAGTGAATGAATGTTCGTTAGCAACTCTCAGTTTTGAACATGGCCACATGACCATTTAATTTTTCTCTGTTAGCAGATCGTGGAATGTTTATATTAACGAATGAATGTCCTTTAGCACATTAAGGATAGATGCAGTTCTTGTCTTACACTTATTTTTGTAATGTTAGTAATTTTTGTATGCATTTTAGTGACCGGTGTCTTGGACAGCGGAAATGACAAAGGGGTGGTGCTTTAAAGAACACCATTTTTAATTCAAGTGCAAAACAATGACAAAGGAAAGTACTTATTTCTCTGGATTATAAGTAGATTTATTTACCACAACCAGCAATCATTAGCAATCTGAATTTTGAATGGGATTTAGGCTCAATTTTCAAATCTTCCAGAGAAATAACATAAAGTTCATTTGTTCTTTCACTGCTTAGAGACTGAGCAGTGGAAGATTAAGATAGCAAGAACTTCACCCTGTGTTTGTCTTACTCAAATACTTTTTGTTCTAATCCCAAATGGGTCTTGAATGTGAAAGTGAAAATGGTGTTTTTTTGTTTTGTTTTGTTCAAAGAAAGTTCAGTGAGGATTAGATGCTCATAAAAATTGATGTCACATTACTTTCTCTAAGACAGAGGACAGATTAAATTCACATAGCAAATATCAAATAAAAGGCCCACAGTCAATCATAACTTTCAAATAAAGCTTGAGTTTACTATTTAAACATATTACATAACTGCCATAAGGGGAATTAAATACTGTTAAGAAAAAAAAAGGTAATCTGTTGTGATTACATCTTCTTTTAGGTGTAAGGTGAACTTTGCACCTCAATAAAAAGGTCTACTTATTCAAGGTGCCACCCTCCACCTCCCTAAAATGCAGATGTGCAGAAAAGGAAATCCTGCTGGGGTGAACAAAGTGCATGCAATTCCCTATTTTTCTTCCACACCACCTAGACAAGGGTGACAATATCCTTTTTTGTGCCAGGTCCTGGAGAAGGTTAAGTAGCTCAAATTTTGTAAGAAATCAACCCTCCAGGATTACGTCACGCCATGAACTTCGAAAATGGAGGAAAGGTGTGTATATTATCTAAATTTCCCACCACAGGATATTTTTTTAACTTTTATGCAGGGTTTATGGAAGGAGGAGGAGTGCTACATTAAATAGGTGGACCTTATGGAAGTGCTTTACAGTAACAATCTAAAGTGTCAATTAATGGAAGTCTGATACTTCAGTTTTGGCTATGAGTCCAATAACCACTTGGCTTAATGTACATTTTGGGTGCTTACATCTTTTTTTCAAGATCACTACACCTTAGTTCCCAGGTCTCCCTAGATGTTACAACCATTACAAGAGAAACCTTAAACTCCTTGTTGATCCCTTATGCAGCTTTCACTCCACCTTTAGGCTATGGAGGTTTAAAAGCCCCCATACACATCACAGAGTTGTTCGATGTGTAGTCCCATTTGGAGCCCCACTTAGGATCTAAATCTGCTGACCTTTTCCTACACAAGAAGGATCATATTGCGTGAACAATTGTCTTTTTGCTTTGGAAAGAGATGGGACACACTGCGGACACCTTTGGTGTTGAATTGCCAGAGTAGAATAACAACGATGGCACAAGGTTTCCCAAACTGGAGCTTCTTTCTTTTGACAAGCCTCAGGAGGTAGACCACAGACTGCATGATCGAGGTGGTAAAACCAAAGCCGTGGTCTCAGGTCCAAGATGTAAGCTAGCTGGTGAAACAGCCCCAAGTGGCCATCATAACTAAAGTATCAGTCTTAGGTGGACTGTCCATTTAAAGTAATGTGATCATCAATTAGTATGACTTGGCATACTGTGGGAAATTTGAAAACTGGTTCACTAGAAAAAAAGTAGCTGTTGCAATCTACAGAATATTCTGTCACTCTGTAGCGTTTATTTTGAAAGTGAATATGAATATCTGATTGTTTCTGTTAATCATAATGTATTTTCTGTGAGCCAGTTCTTTGAAATGACCCAGAGTGTTCATGGTTACCCAACAGCCTTTGCTTCATTCCGGGCATGTAAGTAATGTATAATAATTTCAGTTCAGGCAGAAATGTGCTAGCGCCACAAATGCCTTTCAAGAATGAACGCAATGAGTATGACCTCTATGAGTGAAGATCTGAAGGCGCTAAAACAGCATAACAAGGGAAAGGAGCAACAATTCTTCAAGAAGGACAGGGAATTCAAAGGGCACAAGGGGAGGAGGGAATAGGAGGGGTTGAGTGCATTCCAGAGTCCTGGGTAGGAGAAGACTAAAGATAGAGTGCCAACATCATAAAAAATATAATGCATAGGCATGGGGTACGCACCCCTGTGCCAACGTTGTGGGAGTCACAGTTCCAGTGTCTGGACGACTGCAAGTTCTATAAGCCTGGTATAGGAAATTACTCGTAAATAACCTGATTGGACAGTTCATTAAACAAATTCAGGATGTAGAAAGGTTAAAAAACAAGTATATGTCTGTTTATCATAGGACACCTCTGTATAGCTATAGTTAAGCTGGGCATACATTATACAATTTTCTTATTTAACTTCCTTCAGATTTACCTTCAACAATGTCGTGCAAGGGTCTGCCTTATTGTATACAAATTGAAAGTATTTAGGTTTGACCTTATAATGTGGTTTTGGTAAATCTAAAGGAAAATTGTACAACAAAATTGTATAATATATGGCCAGCCTAAATTTAGCAGTCCACATATCTAACAGTACTCTATTAAACTATAGCAGGACACTTGTTCTGGTGTTATTTTAAGTGCTTGGTCTGCTGCAATTAGGTAGGAGCCAGAATTGTGAAGTCCTTTGAGATCTGACACTTTCTGCCCAGACAACTTATTGACATTATGCTAATAGCAGAAACTGTCTTCATCCCCTAAGTGTACATAATAGTACCTAACAGCAAAGCCCTGTACTAAAGCAGATGTCAGCCAACAGACTGGACAAAAACAGTTAAACTTCAATTGATTTATAAACTCTGTTGCATTAACTCCCGAGTCATCCTCAGACAAAGTAAAAACAACAAACAAATTGGCAAATGGAAGTCTTACATTAGAAACCCCATACAATTTTAAATTACATCTGAATACTAAAATTCTTACCTAAATCAAATCATGGCTGCTTCTTTTTAAATACAATGATTCTCATGGAGAACTACTGCATGTTGTGGTTCTTACCATGCTAAACATGTACAGAACAGAAACATTTGTTTTGTTTCAGATAAGTTATATTACTAACTTCGTTTCGGAATTAATTTAATTAAATTTTCTAACGAATTTAACATTTTCAATACGATTCAAATTCGAATCAGTCTAAAATGTATTGACTGATTCAAACTATGGATGAGGGCTGGGAAGCTGGCTGACGCTTCCTTAACTTTCCCTCTTTCCTGATGCCTCATCAACTGTCAGTGGTTTTCCTACTGACAGCTAAATGTAAAAAAAGGAATTGCAGACAATGAAAAATTAAGAAAAAAAATGGTGTGGGATCTGCCCTTTGGGTCTGGTATGGATTTTAAAGGGAACCCCCCACATCAAAATTTTTAAAAACAAAATCCAAACCAGACTCTTATCCGTGCCGCGCATGCAGGTGCTTGGTGTTTTTGGATAGAGGCAACTATACACTGTAGAAGGCTATGCTTTGTTCATTTTTCATTTCAGAGGTTTACAACCACTTTAATGTATAATGGATATTCCTCCTACAAGGTCAGTTCACCAAAAACTAGCACGTATTTCTGAATGATGGGTAATTTAATCATTTGCTTCTTTCTGCCTGATATTATGATGATAAAATTCAAATATCCGATTTGATGTGACGATTACAAGGAATGCTTGCCCTCACTTTTGTTTTGTTATATAAAATGGAGAATACAACAAAAGGAGCATGTCTCCAAATTTAGTGGTAGCATGCTGGAAAATTTTGCTACACAGATTCCAGAGACAAAGTTGGTGATTCAGAAAGCCACCTTTTGCTAAGAAAATTGAGTGAACTGACCTTTTTAGGATGTAGTTTTTTTCCATATTTTTGTGCCACCTTCCTACGGCATTAGGCTATTTTCTCTGTTGGTAATTGCTCTCTAACTTTTATGGTCGTATGTTCTTATGGATATTTTTTCTTAGCATTAGCAAAGGGTAACAAATAGAAACTGACATTACACACTTATTGCAAACATTGTAGGTGTTATTAACTACTTGTACACAAATAATGTAACGTTTTCATATTTTTTGCTAATTTTTAAGACAAAATCCCCTTACTGTATCCAGTTGAAATATACCTTGATTTTTTCAGGACAAATTGCACCTACATTTGGTGATAGTAATGAACATCTCAATATTTTTTTTAAATTGTCAAATAAAGACTGGCCCTAATATTTTTTTTAAATTTAGCTGTAAATGTTTTGACACCTCCAGTGAAATAAATTATCCTATTTTTGGTGTCAGAGGATGAAATATTGCCCCAAGGGCTGGATAAAAGCAAGCAAAGGGCCACATCCAGCCCCCAGGCCACAGTTTGGAGGCCACTGACCTAGATCAAACCCTGGTCTAGCCAATTTATCTTTGTTTTTATTTTTATTTATTTATTTACACACAGACGTTTTTTGTTTACATCCTTCTCCTCAGACTAGGAGAAAAAGATACAATGTATCACTTTCTCCATTTGGTGGAGAAAGATAGAACAGGGGTTTTATTGAGTGACAGTC